GATACTCCTACTTTCAGTTAAATATCAAATTTTTTTGCTTTTCAATTTTACTTAATTTCTACTAACTAACATCACAATCTGTTATCAAAATTTTCACTAAATTCCATTTATGGGGCTTATATTTTCTTACAATTAAACATCTGAATTTTTAGGCACAAAATTTTGCTTTGCTAGGTTTTAAGGCAAAAAATCAGGAAATTTTATTTATTAAAAAAAAATCCCATAGAAATAGCATTCAAAAAGTTTATGCAACGATACAACTAAAAACTCGACTGAATTCGCAGCAACAGACAAATATCGACAGTTAAAAAAATAAAACAAACACAAGAAAAACTAAACAAACAGCAAATAAACCATTTTGAAATGAAATTCAACCGAAAATTAGATGAAAACAAATTTTTGCTTGGTTTTCTCTCCTCACTTCACCTATGTATATATGTATGTATGTATATATGCATACGTACATACATATCTACATGTATATATATATATTAAATGTGTGTGCCCTGCTATTGCCAATGTTTACCTGTAAAAAAAAATGCTGAAAATATAACCACAAAAAAATGCGAAAAACATACACATATGTAAACATTTTAAGTACAAAACTTTTCATGCTATTTTATGTGAAATTGAGTGTGTGTGTGTATGTCTATATCAAATGTGCGTATCTATCTGCATTCATATAATTGTTGCGTGCTTCTTCATGAAATTCAGCAGCTGTTTATGTACATATATGCAACTGTGCAACTCTGTATGTGTATGATAACATATTTGTGTAAATTTTTTATTTACTTTTTCAATATTGATATGTTTATATATGTGTAAACTTTTACAAATGCGTTGTTATTCATACACACAAATATACACAGGTCTAGGTATATTAGGGTGGTACCTAAGATATCAACAAAGCAAACGCATCCACGAAAATTTCAAGTGAAAAAAAATTTGTGATTCACCTGTGTTCAAAAAATTAATTTTTTTTAATGGCAAAAATTTGAGAAATTTTTTGCTTTGACTGGTTGTAACTCAGAAAGTTTAGTAATTTATGTAAATATATTTCAATGATATTCAAGACAAAATTTTATCGTATTTTTTCGATTTAAAAAAATTTAAATTTTTCCCCCTAAAATTTTCGTAGATGTATGTATTTATTTTGTGCGTAAACAAAATAATGGGCTGCCGCATACCGTACACATTTTAAGTACCACCCTGATGTATTTGTCCTATCTGTGCAGTTTTTTGTTTTATTTTTTATAAGAACCTTTTCATTTTATTAAACAAATTCTATGTTTTTATTTTGCATTCCTTTTTGTACCACTTCACAAAATATCAAATAATTTACCTACATATTAATCACGACTTGATCAAACAAACATTTTTATGTAGTTTTTATTCAATTGTGGAAAATTAAGCTTTGATTTGATTTTTCGTTTGCTTTCATCACAAGGCTATGTGTGTATTTAGTACAGGGCGTATGAATAATTTAAAATGCACTTGCAATAAATCTCCGCCATTTGCCTATTTTTTGCGAGTATTAACAAATTTTCGAATATATTCAAAATAATATTTTCCTTTAGCATCACAGTTTGCGAAAAATAAAATGTTTCTTTTAACTACTCACAGCTTTGAGTGACAGTTTGCAATTTTCATTTTACTATATATGTATGTGATTTATTGATGCATCACGTAAGTGCATACTATGTCGTACTATGATCGAATTTGCGTACATTTAATTGGCTTTTTATGATTTTGTCAATATTCATCTCAATTAAAATTTCCATTTTGTGGTGGCAGCGTCCAACGTTTCAATTTCGATTTGGCGCTGATGTTACGTTGTACCACATCGTTTGCTGGTAGAATGTCCTAATCCGACAAAACAAAAATGGCAACCAGCACTTTTTATTTTGTGCAAAAAATTCATAACGATATATCTGTTAATTGTGCGTCCTTTGAAGGCAATTTTTCTTTTTCCTTCGAGATTCTAAATTCTTTTGCACTTTAAAATTTTTAATGCTGTTTTCATGCTATAACTAAACAGCAATTACCAAAACTGTGTCCAATGTAAGAAATAGAATAAAAGCTGTATTTTTTATTACTTAATACTCCGAATCAAAATTTATTCTAGTTGGCTAGTTTTTTATAATTTAATATATTTTAATATTTTTTTTGTAATCTATAAAAAGTAATCGGTTTACATACACTAATCAAATAATGTTTCCGTACAGGGCTTTTTTTACTATGTACAATGTTTTTCGTAATAAATTTTTTTTCGTTAATTTTTAATAGAAATATAGTTAAATCTGCATCAAATGGCATATAATTTAATGATTCAAAGTCTTTACAAAATTAAAGAAAATTCGACAAATTTTTAACAAAATTTTTAATTAAAAAAAAAAAAATCGAACTTTTTGAGCACGCAGTTTTGTAGCTCACGCAATTTTAGTATAATAACGTACAATTTTAGGTGGCTTTAAACTACCGTTGATTTTTGGGATTTTTTTTGCTTTAAAAGTTGAAAATTTTGGTAGAACTTTGTCGAATTTTCCTAAGTTTTGTAAAAACTTTGAAGCACTAATTTATATGCCATTTGATGCAGAATGAACTATGTTTCTATCAAAAATTAACGAAAAAACATTGAAAATATTAAAAAAAAACACTGTAGCTTGTCTTTTACTTTATTCATATTTTCTTTTACCTTCTTAACTTTTTTTTGTTTAAGTATTTTATTATTATATTTTACATTATAGTTACTTGTCTAAGGTGTTGTTGTACTACTTGCTGTCTGCTATATACATAAAAATATACATACATATCGCATACAATCTTCAAAAGTGACACAACTCATTATTTACACATTCGTCAAAAAATGCGAAAAACTATTTCTTAGCACATGCTAACCATATGGGCAAGGGAGATTTTACCTTAGGTCTTTTAAACAAACTATAACAAAAATTTGCTGCAGCATTTGCTAAAATATAAATAAAGGCGCTGTGTACATTTTTAGCGCATAATTTCAAAAATGTCTAATTTTGAGTTGTGTCACTTTTGAAGATCATGTGCAATATGTCTCATATATTTTGGCATTCTTAAAACCTCCTTCAAAACTTTATATCTATGTGCATATATATTTATATCTTACACTCGCTATCATCTCATCTGACTTCATCTTGACAATTCTGTGTGATGTGACCAAATGTGTCTTAATGTATTGATCCTATGTCGTTATTGTCTTTAATACATAAGTACTATGTATATTTGTGTATAAATCGTATGGTGCTCAATGTGCCGCACGCAAACTAAATTAATAATAAATTAACAAAAAAAAAAAACAGGAAAAACTTTGATTTATATAAAGTGTATATAACAATCCAAGCAAAGTGTATTTTAAAAAAAACAACTCACACAATCAACGCCAATTTATTTACCTTATTTATTTTCTATTCACAATTAAACACCTTACAACACATAAGCAAACAATTGTATGTGTATTTTTTTATTAAAAATATTTTTTCTTCAGTTATTTTTGCTCTATATATAGGGTTAATTTAAAATATTTCAAGCAAAAAATATTCACTGATAAAATCGAAATAATCTCAACTGCCATTTGCAAATATATAATAGGTTTGTGTATCGAAGTATGAGTTTGCCCTGTATTTGCTCACACGTCACAACGTACCACATCCGTTGCAATTTTCATTTCGCTACATCCGTCGTCAAGTTTTCGGAACTCAACCCAGCTAAATTGTAAGAATAAACTATGAAAAATAAAATTAAACAAAAACGACACACATGAAAGACACTTCGTTCGTTACGAACGTGCCGAGCATAGCAACTGCGAGTCTACATACATACGTACGTACATGGGTACGGCAGGTTTAGAAAGTCGACGTGCAACGACATTAACATAACGGCCCTTGAAATTACTTCTACACAAATACATAACTACACACATTCGTGTCAACACATGCATACGAGTTATAGGGCGGGGGAGGGGCGTAATTTTGTGTGAACTATTTTCCACCTTATCCACCAAATTTTCAACCCTCTATGCGGCATCTACATACATACATACATACATGTTTTTTTTTTTGCTACTTCTTCTTCTGCTGCTACCTCCGCCCCACTCATTACAGCTTTGGCAAATCACATCGCATCACAACATTTCGTGTTCTAGAGGATTACCATTGTCATAGTAGTTGACGACGTTGTTGTTGCTGCTGCTGCTGCTGTTGCTGTTGCTGGTATTGGTTTTGGTTTTCGTATTATATCTGTTACACCAAACCAGTAGCCAGCAATCAGCACTGCACAGCCAAGACTAGCCGCGTTTACCCCACTCAAATACTTACATATCTACATACAAATAATATATAGAAAATAAACTTATATAAATAATAGTAAAATAATAATAGAACCGTGCCAACTTTCATGATCATTTTCCTACAATTTAAATTTAAAAAAAATTTAAATTATAAAATATGCCTTTTTATACTACATAGCGCAAAAAATCATACTAGTTATTTTTAACTTATACAAATTAAATGAAATTCTAAACTTTATTTTTATATAAATTTCGTGTCAATGTTGCATCATCACGTCAACAACAATAACAACTTCAACAATGTAACGTCAACCCGCTTGCGAAATGTATGTATACTCAAACAAAAAACTAAAAAAAAACACGGCGCTGTGACTGCTGCGCAAAATGAAATTCAACCGCTTTGAACTGGTTGTATTATTTGTGTGTTTAAATAATAAAAAAAAACTCAAAAAAATAATACAAAAAATATACCGTCACGCACACACACACACACAAACAAAACACACACTCCAAATATTTAAAAAAAATATTTATAATTAAATAAAAATACCCTTCTTCCACACCCTCTATCCTGCCAACGCCTACACTTTTGTACAATAATCCAATAATAATAAACACCTTGCAAAAATTACAAAAAATGTATAATTAAAAAAAAAAACAAACAACGTTCACACTCGTATAGAGAACTACCACGGCTCAAATACAGTATTCCTGGTCGGTGTACTAATGTCAGTTGTTGGGTTCGTTTTTGTTACTTTCACCTTGATGGCACTGTGCTACAGGTCAGTTGTAGTACATAGAAACTTCTCCCTGTGTCTGAGGTTAGTTGAAAAGCAGTAATGAAAAACTTAAATCAAAAATAAACTAAACAAAATACCAAAACGCAAAAACAGTTATTCCAAAAAAAAAAAAGAGTACAAAATTCTAAAATTTAAATTTTATTTGTTTAACCAAAAAACAGCCAGAAGGCGTTTCGCAAAAGTTGAGAAATGCTTCAAATCAGTAAAGTAATAATTTATTTATTTTGTTTTTTTTTTTATTCTGTATTCTATACAATTAACACTCGTTAAAAATATGCAAAATATTTTGTTTTTTTTTTTCTTTTCTCTTTTAATTTTATTTTATCAATTTATAAAGCGCAATATGTACGATTTTTATTTCTAAATTTTCAAATTTTTTATATATTTTTTATTATTTTTGACACTTTTTGCTTTCGTATGCTATGGACAATTTTTTTTTAATTTTTTCGTTATATTTTTTACTTTTATTTATTTTGCTTTAATTTCGAATCACACTAGTACTAACACTAAACACATACTAACAGCATTTTAAAGAATTAACGTTTCTGCAAAAAAAAAACATTAATGCACTGCTACTAACAATCAAAATCGACAAACCTACTCTCATACAAGAATCCATTCATACATGCAGACAGGAATATCTACACTCACATATACAACAATAAAAACAAAAAAAGGGCGCGAAAGTGGAGTAGTTAAAAATCATCGTAGATTTATTTCTTCAAGAAAATGTATACCAAAAGCAAAATACTTTTCAAGCAACAGAAATAATAAAAAATTTCCCGGTAATTTTTTTGGAACTTGGATCTGAACTTGTATTACATTTTTTACTTAATTTCCAAAATCTTGTTTAGCGACAATGAAGAAAAGGTATTAGTAAGCCTTTCTATATATTAATTTGAACTCTGAACCGCTTTTCAAGAATCCTACCTTACGACTAAATTAAATAAATCTCTAATAAATCGTTAATAAAGCTATGGAGTTATAGCGAAAACTCTGACGTGAAAGCAATAAATTTTAGCTAAACTATAAGCATTTAGTACTCCGTGCATGATCTCATAGCAAAAAATTTTGTTTAATACCTCAGTGTTATTTAAAATAATATTATGTCCTCAATATAAGGTAGATGTTGATCAGTATCTGAAAATTTAAAAAAGTAGCAATCTATTCATAAACAATTTTTTTTATTCTCAATGTTGTATTATTTAAACTCGATTGTCCTTTTTCGATAGACTCTTCATAGTTCTAAGCTTCTGATCCACCGAGATCATCTATATAATTAAAATGATGTCTTCTTAGATGTCTCCCAACATCATCTAAGGCACATTGTCCTCGCGAATTGCCAATTTTAAAACTGAGTGCAGCGTGGTTGCCACTATAGACACGTAAACTCCTGCCTCTTGATTTACTTTCTACCACATAGTTCATGACCTTCAATATTGCAAATAAAGGGTGATTTTTTAAGAGCTTGATACCTTTTTTTTTAAAAAATAAAAAAAAATAAAAATAAAATTTGCAAAATCTCATCGGTTCTTTATTTGAAACGTTAGATTGGTCCATGACATTTACTTTTTGAAGATAATTTCATTTAAATGTTGACCGCGGCTGCGTCTTAGGTGGTCCATTCGGAAAGTCCAATTTTGGGCAACTTTTTCGAGCATTTCGGCCGGAATAGCCCGAATTTCTTCGGAAATGTTGTCTTCCAAAGCTGGAATAGTTGCTGGCTTATTTC